CACCCTCCCACCATTTCTCCTTTTCCCCATGCCCTTCAAGCAGACCGTATCACCAAGAATATTTAGCATAGCGAGATTCGAGATGGCTCTAGAAAGTGGGGTCGCTCTCTATAGCATTACCACAAGATGTGCAAAAATGATAGGAAGTTGTTCACCATCAACACAGAATCCTGTCCTATCAGGGGGACACGGGGAGTGGGGAGGGGGACGGGACAAGACACACACACACACACACACACACACACACACACCCCCCCCCGGTACTGGATGCAGCTCACCATGAGGTGGCTTTAATCCAGAGGATGGAAATAAAGTGAGAAAGAAAAAAGCAGCATGCTGTAAACTGGGACTCCAACTCATAAAACATATGGATCAGCGGAACTTGTAGCAAGCTGCGCCCCTCTCAAGTTGGGATCATCAGCCACAAATGGATTCATCAGGCATCTGACTAGACCTTTTATGTGTACACCATGATCCAGAGAGTTGGTCATTGCCTACCTAATTCAGACTAATAGGGCGTATAGGGGTCTTATCTGCCTGTACACAGTCAAATGCAAACTACTTCATTGTTTTCAAACTAGCATATGAAAACAGGCATTCTTTTAAAGGTAAGGTGATACTGTACAGTGAAGTGTAACGAACCAAAACATAACACAGAAATGTAAGTGGGTGAGGCTGGCCTTGGAGTGACAAAATGGGCATGCCAAAGGAAGCAGAGTTTGTACCAAATTTATGAAGCTGGAGTAACAAGCAGGGCTGAAATTTATCCTTCTTTCTTAGCATTACTGTGGCTCTTAAGAGTCCAAGTCATGGCTCAAGATCCCATTTGCCAGGTTATGTGCAAACACAGAACAACTCTGTACATAATCCTTGATCTACAGAGTTCACAAGCAAAGACAAGAAACCACAGACAGACAGACAGGGGAACTCAAGGAAACAGAGAAGCAACGGTGGTCATCATCAAGGCACTCGTCTGTGGGAAAGAGCAGTCTACCTGTTGTAGTTTTCTTCTTTTTATAGGCAGCATACCAAAACAGAATTTTAAAGGAGGGGTTTGAAGGAGAATAATGAGTTCCCTATTTGAAATTTTTAACCAGCAGGAGATGGAGCTTGGCAACTTGGGCCAGAAGCAGGAGCTGACCCTTTAAACTGAGGAAAAGATGATAGGTAGCCTCTGATAGCGAAGACACGCAGCTTATTTCTGAAGCTAAAGAGAAGGCAGAGGAAGAAGAACAGTGTGTGGTGCATGGAGATGTGGTCAAGGTGACAAGCTAGGAAAATTATATTTGCAGAACCATTCTGTATGGATTTTAGGAAGGCAGGATCATGGCTTGTCAAACAAAGCTAGAGAAAAGGATGTAGCAGCCATTGAGATGTGAGAGGATGAAAGCCTGGAATTTCCTGCCTTTTTAGCATTTAAATTCCAAACTGGATTCCTGTCATAAACGTCAGGTTTTGCAGTATCTGATAGATGCACACTGCAGTTGGGTTTATTCCTTCTCAGCCTTCTTCTCCACATGGTTTGGATGCCAAAATAGGGAACTGCATTCTCTGATGCCTTATCAAGGAATCTTATTATTAACAATCAGAATATTATTATTGGTATTTCATTTTGGGATCCCTATTATGGACCAGGATACTCTGCAGACACAGTCTACTGATTTCAACCTCTTGCATCTATAGAGATTAATGCGTGCAAATGCTAACAACTTTCTTAGGTACTTGTCCTTACAGTGATCTTGCTGGAATAACCTTGAATGTCAAACAGGCCTGTCCTGTAGTTCCAAATCCTCATTATTCCTCCTGCTGAGTACTATGCACACTAGCAACCACAACCAGCAAATACAAGAGACTACACCAGGTAGGTCTGCAGATGTGGAGCAGAAGGAGGTATAGGACACGTTTGCCTCCGGGTCCTTTAAGTCACATAATACTACCCTGCGGAAGCAATGAAGGTATCAGCAGTGCCATCAATCCTACAGCCCCTAATATGGAAAAATCCTTCAAAATAAAAACATCAGGGGATCTAGGTGACTCCACACCTTCGTTCTTCTCAACTCGTTCTGGTAGGCAGAACTAAGATGATGGCCAATTTGAATATAAAAGAAAAAAGTCACAGTTATAAGGGGTCATACTTCCTCATAATTCAGTCATAGCATTTTTCTCAGAATGAAATGATCAGTAAGTACCATGTACAGTGTGCTATGACTGCCTACAATATTCTAAATGTGACTCTATTATAAGCACATTCTACATTAAGCCAAATTCAGGGGAAATTATAGTAATAAGATTTATTAGGCAGCTCATAATTTTCTTTGCTTACCTAAGCGTTGTTAAGCAATTTGCCAAATGTTTAGCCTTTGAACTACTACTAATAACCTCTCTGTCTCCCACCTGTCCTGTTGCAATGCAGGGGCAGTGAGAGTCCCCCTTCCCAGCTTTATGGCCCAGGCTTCATTACCTCGCATTAAATATTCTCCAGTAATGATAACGTGGGCTTTTACTAGGGAAGAAAGTGATTGGAAAGAAAGCAATTTTCTGTGGATACATCTGCATATTTCTTATATTATCCAAGCATGTTCCTTTTGCCTTGGAGCTTGATGAAACTAAACAGCAAAATCCCCAAAGAAATCAAACTCTTTTCCTTAGCATCACCACAAAAGAATAATGCCTGGTAGCAACCTTTACTGTATTCATAGCTCCAAACTATGTAGGTATAGTCAGTCATCAATCCAAGTTTTTGAACTCTAAATCTTTTGTTTTATAGGATCTTTTAAGATTATTAACCAACATGTTTCTGTATCCTTCCTATTCTGAAGACATCACATTTGTGGATACAGTCCCAGTGATTTTAGAGAATCCTCTAGTGCCTGACTACAAGAAAAACTCCTCCTTTGAAACAAAAAAAAAAAAAATATTTGATTCAAGTACTTTGACAATTCAAGAAAAAGCCAGTAAGGGCAAAAATTGTCCCTGCCTTACCACAGGAAAAAACATATTTGGAACAGCAAGAATACGAGTAGACAACATACAAGTGACAGAATCTCAATCTCGACTCATTTTTCAATAGACTGGGAATGACACTACTCCCTTTCTTACTACCACAGCTTAAGTTTCCTGCATAAAATGGGAAAACAGAGGCAGCTTTCCCTTTTTATACCATGGCGTCCAGCGTTCAAGGACTGTATTAACCTTTAGACAGAAGGCAGGGTAAGGATGCACCTGACAGCTTAACTGAATCAGAGATGCACAAGCTTTTGCCTGCGCTCTGATTCAGTTAGTTTAGAGATGCAATTCTCAGCCAGGCTGGTGCTGGGGCTCCCTGGGCTGTTCTGGGATCCTTTCAAGGGTGCCAGGGGATGCCGCGCAATGCTAGTCGGTATGAAACACGTGAAACAAAATAAACCCAGAGATTTCAAACAGGAACCCAGTGTTAAAAGCAGAAAGGCCACCACAAGGCAGAACAAGTTCTTGGTGACCAAGCAGCTCCAGTATTTTTCTGCGGTCAAAACATCAGTGAAACTCAACAGCTCGCACTTCCAAGGGGCGCCTCCCAATCTAACAGGGGGTGCCTGGAGCCTAGGAAGGTTGGGGGCCACCGTACGCTCCCGAGGGGCATCTCTGCCCTGCCTTCTGTATTCCCTTGGGCAATATTTCGCTGCCAATGGAGCTGGTATCACCGAGCTACGTGTGATGGCGAAGCGCAGCAGTAAACTCTCAGACGGAGCACCTCTCGCAGGCATAACCAGGACTTGGTACCGTGAAGCCTGACATCTGAGCGGACACATCACACACACCTGACAAGCCAGAGAGACTCCAGGCCGCCGGCGGCACCGTTTTCCTCTTGTAAACGAAGAGCCCGGCCCTGATCTCAGGGACATGAGAAGCAAGGAGGGAGTTTGACTTCAGCGCTAGACTTCAGAGGGCGCCTCCCAGCTCTGCCGCTCTTCTGCCCCCGAAATGATCTCTTAGCCCCTGGGACAAGCCAACCCCTCTCTCCCCCCGCTCCGTGCTGCCGCCGACCCCGGCCCCCAGCACTGGGGGAACAAGCAGCTCTGATGAAAAGGGGGAAGGGGATGGGAAGAGGTGCCTGCCCGCCCGGCTCGGGCCCCGACCCCAGCGCGCACTAACCTGCTCCGAGCTTCCCCGGCCG